CGGCGCGCGGGCGCGGGCCCTCCCCAAGGTCGTGGACACGGGAGGGGGATTCTTCCTGGAACAGGAGGAGGAGGACGAGGAGAAGAAGGAAGAGCCCGGCGCCGGCGAGAGGATCGTGCACACACCCGGTAATAAAAAAAAAAAATTAAAAAAAAAACCTGTAGGGAGCGGCGGGCGTTTGGCGGGGAGGCGGCGGGAGGAGGCGTCGCCACCGCGTGCGCGGGGCTGGCGGGGGAGGGCAGGAAGGCGCGGGGGCGACAGTGAGCCGGCTCCGGCCGCGCCAGCAGGGCGGGATGGATGGATGGGCGCCCTTTTTTTTTTTTTCCCGGGCTTTTTTACCCTCCTTTCTTACCGTCTTTTCTTTTCTTTTTTTTTTTTTTCATTTTTTTCCCTTTTCTTTTTTCCTCTCTTCCTCTTTCACACGTTTTTCTGGATGTGCTCGATTAGTGGCGCGTCCGATTCTTTTCAGCATTAAATCGGCTATAGCATTAAATCGGCTCGGTAATTAAAAATGAAGAATTTTAAGCCGCGGAAGTGGGACACAGCCAGTGCCCTTGGGTATAGCACGTTTTTAATTTTTTTTTTTTCCTCCTATAAACGTTATTTCCATTATATCTTTCGGGGAATTAGAATTTTTAGACCGACATTACAGTAAACCTGCGCGGCTTCGTCGGTTCTGGGAATTTTGGGGTTGATGTGGTTTGTGCCAAAACCGGAGCGCTGCTGCAGTGCCAGCTTTTATCGTTATAAAACGTGCTGGCGCCAAGTTACCGATCGTTCGGTGGAGAATTTCAGCACATTGCCTTGCGATATTCTCCCTCCCAAAAAAAGCAAATGGAGAAGTAAGGGTCCCAAAATAGATTCACTTTCTTCTCCGGGATTGTCTTTGTCTTGCTTTGTTCTGCTTGAATCAGCTGCGGGGCTGTTGGTGCAGTGTATCTCTTTGTTAGAAATCAGCACCAGATTTCATTAGCAGTGTAAACAATTAGCAGCCCTGCTTCTTTTGATGGTCTAACGTTTAACAATAAATTAAAGTAGATCTGGGATGCCTTTGCACGGGGGGTATTTTTTGCTGTGTAATTCATAACGTCATTGTCTTAATAAAATGTCTTCGTGTTCGGGAGCACTGCCTTAAATGATGGAATGTGATGTAAGAGGATGAAATGACTGTGTGAAGTACTGAGCATCCGGCTGTCGCTAGTAGGACGGAATTTACATAAAATGTCGACTTTGCCTGATCGGATCTGCTATAAATGCAAACGCAATTAAAATGTATGGTGCTGCATGTCAACCATTAATCTTCTACTTCAGGTGTTCTTAAAATTCCACAGCATTGCCTTACTTTTGGATCTCAAAACTGTATGGAAATGTGAATTTTTTGCTAGAACTCCAATGTTACCGTTCAAAGAATGTTCCTTATAGCTGTTGCTCTGTGAATTGGTGTTTCTTGGTGTCCCATGGAACATAAAGCAGATGGTGATGACGCTGGAGGTGATCCACCCGTTGAGGATGCGCCCAGAAGTGATGGCTGGCGCTGAGATGAGTCTGGGCTTGGAGCAGTGCTGAGAGGGCTTGGGGAGAGGATTGTAGTGGAGCTCCATCCCCATTCCACTCCTAGCAGCTCTCTGGCCATCCACCTCCGTTTCTGCCAGCTGGAACGGACAAGAACCTTGCCAACTGCCCCCAGGCCTCCACTGAGCACATTTAGGGAGAGGCAGGTGTGGCTGAGCTAGGAAAAAAACTGGAGCAGGGCTGAGAGAACTACAATACCAGCGCAGCTCCTGTGGTTTCCTGCTCTAGCCACCCTCTTTAAAATGCATCCCCTTCTCTGCTTCCTCCCGTTCCTACCCGCATGTCCTCTATGAATGAGGACATATTTTGGGAGGGTCAGAACAGAGGAAGTGGAAGGAGGGGATATGAAGTACTTAGTGGGGAAATGGGATTTTTTTTTAACAATGGCTAAGTTAAAACAAATGTGTGCATTTGAATGTTGAAATCAAGTTCTTAAAACTGAACTCCCGAACGAGAACAGAAACGTACCGGCAGAGATGGGCTTGTATGGTAACAGGTTTGAATTTGTACTGTATCATTCTGGAAAACTTTTATTAGAGTGAAACTAGTCTGTAACATGCTATATTGTGAATTTTAGTAAAATTGCCTGTAATACCAATTCTAGATGCTTGTTTTTATCATTATAGTCCCTTTAAAAATATTTTTTTCCATTAGCACCCGTACTAGAATTTGACTATCTCATCTGTGGAGACTGTGGCAAAGAATTCATGGACTCCTACCTTATGCAGCACTTTGATTGGGCAACATGTGATAATTGCAGGTATTACAAATAATCAGGAGAGGGAAGCACTGTTTTTCATAAAAAGATTTCTGGCCATAATTCAGTGAGTTACAGTCATTCTGTTTATTAAAAAGGCTGTCATCAAAAGAGACATTTCAGTAACTTGGAGAAAAAAAATTAAGGTTGACTGATGCCCTGCGTATTTTCCATTATGGAATTAAATCAGAGCAGTGTCTTGTAAGCCTGCCTTAGGATAGGGGACGTCAGTGCCTTTTCATACAACATGGGAATATGTCAAGAACAGCTGGTGTGTTTGTCAGTGTGAAAAGTTATGTCTGGCTGCACACTACAGCCAGTTGAAAATCTGATGGAACACAAGTACTTGCTCTCTCAAGTAAAACATGAATTAGGAGGAGCATGTTTGTGGTCCTAGTGATCTAACCTGAGTGGAGTTGGTACTTAGTCAGCACGAGCAGGCTGGGAGCCCAGCAGCCAAAGGGCAGAGCCCCTGTGAGAGGTTACTGGTTGGCCTGCAGGGTAAGCAGAAGTTCGACCTTGAGCAGAAGGTAGTCTCTGCTCTTATCTTTAACACAGAAAATGCTCCAAAGGCCATCAAGATAACCAGGGCAATGAAACCAACTGCAGCAGCGAGCCATCCATGTGTGTAAGAGTGAATTGGGTGAATGAAAAAAAAAATGCAGCTAGGAGTTGGTTCTGGGAGCCAACCCCTTTACTGCAGGGAGTGGTTGGGCGTGTGCACGTGGTGTAGACAGTTCACAGGCATTGCAGGCAAAGTGGTGTCTCTGGAAGTTGCAGTGTAAAGGACAGGACTTAAAGCCTTGGAAGTAGTTTTCCTTCTAAGTTCCTGCAGCTGAACAGCTGAACACTAGAGTCTCCTTGGTGAAGTAGCTGTTACTGTGAACTTTGAATTCTAGTAAAGCTACATTTACAGCAGTACTTCCTTGATGACCGTTGTTAGCACTTAGCGTTTGGCAGCTCAAGCAATTCAAGTTGCACTTCAGTCAGGATTGCGTAAAAGTAATTTTTTCCGTGAACGCATAAATGCTGCTGTGGTTACAGTTTTTCATAATCTGTCTGGTAAAAGCTACAGTCTTTTAAGGTCTTTCTGTTATGATTTCTCTGCCTACTGTCTTGCCTTATAGAAACAAGTGCTCTGTCTGTGTTGCTAATCAGTTTCTAGGATCTAGAAGCATATGGAGTGTGTATATTCTCAGGTGATCTGTCCTGTCTCACATTACACATTCTTTCTCTCTTGACCATGTGTCAGGCTGATACTTATACTTTTGTCCTCTTGAATTGCGTCTGGGTTAGGTGAATACCTAAAATTATTCATACTGATTTTACGTTTCAGTTACTCCCTCTAGTAAGAAAGTTGAAGAGCCTTTCTAGAAGAGCAGGCTTCTCAGCCTGTGTTTGCTCAAATGGGAGAATTTTTAAACACTTAATTTCAGTAAATCTAGCCTGGAGTTTAGCTAGACTGTTGGAATCCAAAGTTATTTGCATGCATAAAAACCAGAGGGGATTAGGGCTACCTGTATTTCAGGAATGTTGAAAGGGATGGGGACTTGGATGTTAATAACCTGTGGTTTTAGGGTGTAGCTTTCTCATCATTATTTTACATCTTACAGAGATGTTGAAGATAAACATAAGCTTATAACAAGGACAGAAGCAAAAGAAGAGTATCTCCTTAAAGACTGTGACTTAGACAAGAGGGAACCGGTGCTCAGATTCATTGTGAAGAAAAACCCTCATAATTCACGATGGGGTGAAATGAAACTTTATTTAAAACTGCAGGTATAGAAACTTACTGGATTTTAGACCTCTTTTTGCTTTTTACAACTTTGGTAGCCAAAATGGTGTTACTTGGTACCTGAATGATTTTTGAAAGCTGTGTGTTATGCATAGCTTGTTAGAGTTAGATGGTTGTGGTCCAAATTTTTGAAAATGTCTGTGTTTGAGAGCATTTTGAAAATGCTCATGGAGCGCAGCTTCAGTGGGTTGCACAATTCCAAGTCATAAAGCACGTGGCCTTTCGGTGCTACTCTGAAGTGCATGGGGCAGCTGCTGCTCCCCTTGTAGCTGTGTTCACAGCTCTGCCCTCAGAGGCAGCAGGAAAGGCAAGTGGATTTTCGGATTTTCCAGGACTCCTGTCATTTCTTGTTTGCTACTTTTATAGGAATGCTGTTGCTTTAGTGAAATATGTGCTAAATTAGAGCTGGGTTTAACTTTATCGTCAGTCCTGCCTAACCGGGGAGGTCCCAGGTTACATCCAGCTGACAGTAAAAATCAGTGTTGCCTCTTCTTGTGGAAGGAATGCAGTATTTTGTTGGTCAAGAGCAGAGACAGAATGGGAGGCAGAAGAAGATTGGGTTGGCAGTTTGTAAGTTAGAGTAATTTACTTTTATCATTTCAAGGGGGAAAAAAAGACATTTATGTCCGTCCTGTAGGTAATCAAGCGTTCACTTGAAGTGTGGGGTAGCGAAGAAGCATTGCAAGAAGCAAAGGAGCTCCGCCGTGACAGCAGAGAGAAGATGAAACAGAAGAAGTTTGATAAGAAAGTTAAAGGTAAAGGGTTAAAGTTATATACTGCAGTACCTGAGATTAAGTACAGTTTTGTTTGAATCTGTGTCTGCATCTGATTAAGGTACTGAGAAAGTCTTCAGGGTGGCAAAATGGAGTATTTCAAGAACTAGATGAGATTAGAGCAGTCTGGTGTAAGCTCATAGCTGACTATTTTGGGCAGAGGGTTGGACTGTAGGATTGAGATCCCTTCCAACTTGAATGTACCCTGTTGTCCTGTGGACATGATGTGACAAATCAATTATGATGATTCGTTATGGTGTTCTTCTAATTTTTTGGTATGACCCAGAATGTGCCATGGATTGTTCCTGTTTCTTTTGACTTGTGGAGGACATAGGTTTTTATGGCATTTCTGTCATAGATAGGCCCTGGGTGGAGTGACCGTAAATGAGGGTAGAAAATGCCTTTTCCCAGCATTGTTCACTTCACTCCCCACTGCTGTCTTTACTGCACATTATCCTTGGTTTTTTTTCCTGAGAACTTAGCGTTTAGGAGAGTATTTGATGGGTGGAACTTTTCTTTGTGACCTGTAGCATCCCTGTTTCCGTTTGGGTCCACACTTGTGGGGGCAGAAAGCTCCAGCTGGTTGTACTGGTGTTGTCTGGAGGAGGCAGAACCTGAGGCTGCAGAAATAACCCCTCTGGGCCATTGGTGTTCTGCGCACAGACGCACTGGCAGCAGGCTGTAGCCAAGGTGCCAGAGTTCAGTGCAAGTACAGGCCTTAACGTGACGAAGTTTGCAGCCTGAATGTCTTGGCTCAAAATGTGACCACGTTTTGCTCTTCAGTATGCTTGCCACCCGCTTGCAACATCCGGAAGATATCTTGGGCTCTGCTGCCAGCCTGTGCGCTCTGGAGAACCTGCAGATTTCACTGCAGATGCTGCAGAGGCAACTCATATTATTGGGCATAAAGCTTAGAGAATGCCAAGTCATTTGGGAGGCTCACTGTGACCTGAATGAAAATGACTCTCTCTTGGTCATGTAAAATAAATGAGGTATTCTATAAAAACTTTTCCTTTGCATCTCACCAACCCCTTTTGGATACCTTTGAATGGCTTCTTGTAAAAAGGCAGTGAGCAACACGTCCTTAGTGCAGATGGAAAATCTTTGCCTGTGAGATCCTATGCCAGTGTAGTTCTTAGCCTTTAAAACAGCAAACAAGGTGAGGATTGCCAGGCAAGTCAGAGCTTGCTCTTGCAAGAGCAGGTACTTGCCCAGAATTTATGGAAGACAGGCAGCAAGCATTTTGTCATCTGTAGGCCTCATTCGGAAGGTGGTTAGCTTGAGTTTTATTAAACATTATTTAAGATTTATTAAAATCCTAACATTTTCTTGTATATCTCATCAGAACTGCGTCGAGCTGTGAGAAGCAGTTTGTGGAAGAAAGGAGCTACTATCCATGAACACGAGTATGGACCAGAAGAAAACATAGATGAAGACACATATAAAAAGACATGCACTGTATGCGGCCATGAATTAACTTACGAGAAGATGTAGCGTTAATCTGGGTTTTGGGTTTTTTTTGGTGTTTTTTCCTTTTTTTAATTTTGTTTTGTTTTTAATGGTATTTTGTATTAAAGTCAAATAAATGATAATTATGACCTAGCTGTTGCCAAATTCTGTAAAGAGTTGCGTTTTTCAGTTGTACGAAGCGCTGCACAGAACAGTAAGCTTTGGCTTTTAAGCTAGATCTTTGGGTAGAATACTAACACATTTGCAACAGTTCAAAAATTGGTATCTCCTAGGCCAAAAAATAGGTTTGTATCATTGTACTTGATAATGCTGATAAAAAGAAGGTGAACATTCCACTGCTGGTTTGCTCCTGTCAGAGAAGGAAGACTCCATGCTCTGTATTTTGTCCTGATTTTTGTCTGTTTTTTCAGTTACTGGTCATGGGTGGGCAGAGGACAGTGAGCTGATAAAGCAGCACTTATGGTAGCTGGAGACTGTTGAGGCAGGTTCTCCTTTAGTTTGGAGACACAACTCCGTGAAGGAGAATTCTCTGTTCCTGGGGAGGTTCTGAAATGTGTCTACCATATTTCATGGGGAGAGTCCTTAAGTGTATCCTCTACTTCTTTTTTTCTTTTTCCCAACTTTCAGACCAGAGACCAAGGCAAGGATAAATACCTGTCCTCAGGGGCAAGGGGGGGAAGTACCATTCCAACATAGAGCTCTCTAAGCGCACCTGAATGACGTTTGCTTTCAGTAGAGGGTGGATTTACTTGGATTTACTTCCAAGTTCAAATCTTCATTCTTGCAGCTGTTGAGGAATGCATGTGGAAGTGGCTGAAGGGCAGGAACATGTTCTAGGTAGCGGCTCTGCATTTTTTTGCCATTGTAAATATGGTGGATCTCGGGGAAGTCTTGGGAGACTTCTTTGGGGAGCCTGGGCCACTGGCTGTGTGGAAAGCTATGATGTATTTGCCATCACGGAAATGGGGGATGACTCCTGTACCGGGAGTGCTGCAGTGATGGTTATAAGCTCTTCTGAAGGGACAGACAGGGAAGGAGAGGGGTGGGGTGGCTCTGTACTTCAGGGAGTGTTTTGACTGCAGAGCTCAAAGACAGTGATGGTAAGGTTGGGTGCCTATGGATAAAGATGAGAGGGAAGGCTAACAAGGCAGACATCCTGGTAGGAGTCTGTTATAGACCACCCAACCAGGATGAAGAGGCAGATGAAGTATTTTAGAAGGAGCTGGCTGACGCCAGCCAATTTTGCGATTGCTAACCTTGGTTTTGTTGGAGACGCTTAACTTGCAGGATGTCTGCTGGTGAGGAGGCAGTCTAGGAGGTTCGTGGAGTGTGTGGAAGATATCTTCCTGATGGTAAGCAACCTGTCCTGATTCGTACCAGGACAGGGTTCATTTTTGCAGTATCCAGGAGGGGCATGACCAGGACCCAGACACCACCTCAGTCCATACACAGGGGGATGGGGGCAGGCAGAAGGGGGTCTCTTCCAGGCGGGGTAACACCATGTTCCTCATGGTGAACACTCATGGGGGAATCGCTCCTCTCTCTTGCACACTCTTACTAATACTGGTGTGTTACTGTTCCTTTCAGTTGCTCTTGCTGGTTCCAGTAAATTGTTCTTATCTCAGCCTATGATCTTTACCTTTTGTGACTCCAGTTCTCCTCTCCATCCCAGTGCAGGGGGGGGAATGAGTGAGCTGTGCATTGTTTGGAGTGTTTTAGTGGGAACACAATTGGGGAACATCATTCCTAAACCACAACATGAGCCTACCAGTGGTGCCCCACTAGACCTGCTGTTTATGAACAGAGAAGGGCTGGTGGCAGACGTGATGGTCAAAGGCCATCTTGGGCACACGGACCATGAAATGATAGTTTTTGATTCTTGGTAAACTAAGGAAGGGAATCAACAAAACCTCTACCTTGGACTTCTGGAGAGTGGACTTTGGCCTATTCTGGACACTGGTTCAAAGAGTCCTTTGGAAAACAGTCCTTAATAACAAAGGGGTCCAGGAAAACTGGATATGCTTTAGGTAGGCTGTCCCTATGTGCTGAAAGATGAGTTGTGGAAGAAGACAGGCCTGGCTAAACAGGGAGCTTTCGCTGGAACTCAGGGGAAATAAAAGAGCTTATGACCTTTGGAAGAAGGGGCAGACAACTCAGGAAGAGTACAAGGATGTTGTTGGGCCATGTAAAGAGAAAATTAGAAAGGTGAAAGCTCAGCTAGAACTCAATCTGGGCACCACTGTGAAATATAATAAAAAGTGTTTTTATAGATACATTAACAACAAAAGGATAGTCAAGGAAAATCTCCATCCTTTATTGCATGCAGGGGGGAACATGGTCACCAAGGATGACAAAAAAGGCTGAGGTACTTAATGCCTTCTTTGCCTCAGTCTAAAGAGAAGGACAAGTTATCCTCAGGGCCACCAGCCCCCTGAGCTGACAGACCCAGGTGGGGAACAGAATAGACACTCCGCAATTCAGAAGGAAGTAGTGACCTGCTATGGCACTTAATACACTCACAAGTCTCTGGGACAGGACAGGATTCACCTGAGGGTATTGAGAGAGTTGGCAGAAGAGCTTGTCAAGCCACTTTCCATCATTTATCATCAGTCCTGCCTAACCAGGGAGGTCCCAGACGACTGGAGGTTGGCCAATGTGGCGCCTATCCACAAGAAGGGCTGGAATGAGGATCTGGGAAATTACAGGCCTGTCAGCCTGACCTTGGTGCCTGGCAAGTTTATGGAACAGATCATCTTGAGTGGACAACCAAGGGATCAGGCCCAGCCAGCACAGATTAGGAAATGCAGGTCCTGACTGACCAACCTGATCTCCTTTTACACCAAGTGACCCGCCTGATGGATGAGGGAAAGGTTGTGGATGTGGCCTACGTGGACTTAAGTAAAGCCTTTGACACCATCTCCCACAGCATTACCCTGGAAAAGCTGGCAGCCCACGGCTCAGACGTGCACTCTTCTCTGGGTTAGAAACTGGCTGGGTGGCCAGGCCCAGCGACTGGTGGTGAGTGGTGTCACATCCAAGTGGTGTCTGATCACGAGGGGGAGATCAGTGTTGGGCCCAACCCTGTTCAATGTCTTTACTGATGATCTGGATGAGGAGATCAAGTGCACCCTCAGTGAGTTTCCAGACATCAAATTGGGTGGGAGTGTTGATCTGGAGGTTAGGAAGGCTCTGCAGAGGGATCTGGACAGGCTGGTTTGATAGGCTGAGGCCAATGGTGTGAGGTTCAATAAGGCCACAACAACCCCTGCAGCACTACAGGCTGGGGGCAGAGTGGCAGAAAAGCTGCCCGGTGGAAAAGGACCTGGGGGTGCTTGCCAACAGGAAACTGAACATGAGCCAGCAGTGTGCCCAGGTGGCCAAGAAGGACAGTGGCATCCTGGCCTATGTTAGAAATAACGCAGCCACCAGAACCAGAGCAGGGATTGTCCCTCTGTCTTCAGCACTGATGAGGCCACACCTCCAGTTCTGTGTCCAATTCTGGGCCCCTAAATTCAGGAAGGACATTGAGGTGCTGGAGAGTGTCCAGAGAAGGGCAACAGAGCTGGGGAAGGTTCTAGAGCACAAGTCCTATGAGGAACAGTTGAGGGAGCTGGGGTTGTTCAGCCTGGAGAAATGGAGGCTCAGGGGAGACCTCATCACTCCTTACAACTCTCTGAAAAGAGGTTGTAGCCAGGTGGGGGTCAGCCTCATCTCCCAGGCAACTAGAGATAGGTCAGGAGGACATAGCCCCAGGCTGTATTAGGGGACGTTAGGTTGGACATCAGGAGGAATTCCTTCACAGAAGGAGTTCTTAAACATTGGAATGGGCTGCCCAGGGAGGTGCCGGAGTCACCTGGAGCTGTTTAAGAAAAGATTGAACGTCAAGCTGACAGGCTGGTCAGAGGTTGGACTTGATGACCTCAGAGGTCTTTTCCAACCTAACTGATTCTGTTAGAGGAGGAGACAAGGTGTCTGGGAAGGGGCAGATGATGGTTCCAGTAACAAGCCTTTACTTCCTCAGTGCTTCATTTGCAGCTCCCCAATAACCTGCCTTCCCACTAAGCACAGAAGGCCTTTGGGGCCTTGCAGGGCCTACGAAAGTGGCATGAGGGGTTGGCTGGAGGGCAGATCCCAGCAGGGCTTTTGGAGGTAGTCCTCCATGTCACGGTTTCATTACCTAGTGTTGTCTTGGGTCCCTAAACTCCTCTCTGGGGCAGCTGGGAGGTGTGCACTGGCTACTGAATAACCTGTGGGCATGCTGCAGCAGCCCTCCCCTCAGCAAGCACCACCAGTCCACACCTTCCTGACCTCCTGTAGCAGCACCTCTCCCTGCCAGAGGACAGGAGGTGGCAAGAGGGAGGGAGAATGTCTGCACGAGCACCACCTCGCACCTACCAGCACATATGTTTGCCTCACATTGCTGCGCAGGTGGGGCAGCTTGTCAGACCAGCCACAGCACAAGGAGGTGAAGGCTTGTGTGTTAGCCAGGATACCAGCACAAGTGCTGGGACAAAACTCCTCCAAACCCCACTGCATTTAACACCAGCATAACCCAGCACGACTGCTTTGTTTCAGTGCCCCCCAAAACAGACAAGACAAACACCCTCAGTAGCAACCTGCTTCACCTTCATTTATTTTTGTCTTTAATTGTGCATTTTTTTCCAACCACACCACATTCCTACAGCATCTTTACACTACCCGCCACCACATGCTTCAGGCAGTTCCAAGTTTCTCCAGTGAGCTGCTGGTATCACTGTGTAAACGTCTCCTTCTCTTTCCTATAGATCCAATCAGTTTCCCAGTCAAGTCAGGTGTACACCATTAGACCTTCAAGAAGGTGAAGGTGTCCAACAGGCTCAAGAAATGTCATCAAAGCCCATGGTTAAACCTCAGCATGATTGGAAGTTAAATCAATTTCAAAAGACATTCCTATTTGGTTTTATAACATACGATTACACTCAAGCATTTGCAACTGTATCCCCAGCATCAGTATTTGTCAAGGCTCAAAGAAAGTTACAGGTTTGCAAGTTCTAACTGCATTACAGTTTAACAGAAGTCACATTTATAGTCAAAACCCCCACCATTAATTAATATCAGAACTCTGATACTGACCCAAGCCAGTGAAAACACTATTAAAATCCAATTAAAACTTC